CCCCCCGCCGGGCAGCCTCCACTCGCCCTTCCTTTCTCATCTCCCAGCTCCTGCCCTCCCCCCACACACACTGTGCCAAGATGTTTGGAAGTTGCTTATCCTTGAAGTGGTGCCTGTGGTTGGCTCTGCTGTCCTGTTTCCTGAGCGGACACCCGGCTTGGAGGGATTTAGAGATAATAAAGCAGTTAGATTTCTAGCTGTTAATCTAGGCCCTGCTCTCATGTCCCTTGACACACATAGTGGCCCAGTCCCTCACCTACTCTTTGTGTCCCTTGCTCCTTTGAGTACAGACACCTCTTGGACAAGGCCGTCTCCCCCTTCAGATCAAAGGCAGACTTGGAACCCTGTACCAGGCTCTGGGCTCCTTTTCTCCTGCTGTTCTCTGACTTGGGTGGGAACACCATCCTCACCTCTTTCCTTTGAAGACTGCAGGCCCTAACTGTTACCTCCACCCTCAGAGTGCACCTTCATTGTGCTGGATGCCGAGAAGTGGCAGGCCCAGCCTCGCCCCCCTGAGGAGAGCTGCATGGTGGGAGATGTGAACCTCTTCCTCACAGATCTGGAAGACCCCACCTTGGGGGAGATCGAGGTCATGATTGCAGGTTTGTCCCACTTGGCCTAGCCAGAACTTCACAGAACTTAGTAGGCGCCCAGGGTAGCTCAGTCAGCTGTGCGCAGCTAGCTCTTGACTGGCAGCTTGCTATCCTGTCCCACACCCAGCATAGTGATTAACCCTTGGGTTCATACTTTCTCCCATATACTTGGTATGAACTTAACCTCTGTGTGTGTGTGTGCGCGCACGCGCGTGCGTGCGCGCGCTCGCGCATGCTCGCATGCCTGCATATGTGCTATTGTTCCGCAATGCCATCTTTTCAGGTTGTGTTTGTTTTTTGTTTTTGTAGTTGTTTTGAGACAGGGTTTCTCATCAGCCTGGAGCTTGCCAAGTAGACTAGGCTGGCTGGCTGTGCTCCCCCAGTACTGGGCTTCAAATGCATGCTGCCACACCTGGCCTTTTTACACAGGTTCTGGGGATCAAACTCTGGTCTTCCTTGTAAGCACTTTACCATTGAGCCACCATCTCCCCATCCCAAAACCGCTGAGTTTCTAGTCTCCAAAACTCCATCTGTTCTATGCTTAGGAGGGGATCCTCCAAAGAGAAGCGATTCAGAAGCTGTGGAGGAGCCCCTTCTGCCTCTGCATCTTTTGGTCCTTTGCTTTTCCCAAGAGCTCCCTGGTGAAGGGAACAGGGGGCTCAGATTGCTGGGAGCCTCATGCCTTCCTTCTCTCACTGCCTGTGCTGTTCTTTTCCGATGGCATACCAGTGACCCAGTGCCTGTAAAGTATACTGGAGCCTGGTCCCTGGTCCCTGGTCCCTGGTCCCAGCACACTGTCCTTTCTCCTAGAGCCCAGCTGCAGGGGCCAGGGCCTTGGCACCGAGGCGTCTCTCCTGATGATGTCCTATGGTAAGCCAGAGTTAATGCAAGTGGGTCAGCCTTAGCTGTGCCTTCTTCGGGCACAAGGGAGGCAGCGGATGGCAGACTGGGGCAGGGGGCTAGAAGAGCGGAGGTTTCATCTTACTGCTTGCCTTCTCCCAATGACTCTGGAGGAGTGACGAAGCTAGGTCTGACCAAGTTTGAGGCCAAAATTGGGCAAGAAAATGAGCCTAGCATCCGGATGTTCCAGAAACTACATTTTAAGCAGGTAAGGGCATCCATTGGGGAGGCCTAGGGAAGTAGAGCTGTTGGTGTTAGAACTCGGCTCTAACACTAGGTCTGCTCTCCGGGCTCCTACAGGTGGCAGTGAGCAACGTCTTCCAGGAGGTGACACTCAGACTGGCAGTGACTGAGGCAGAGCGGCAGTGGCTTCTGGAGCAGACCAGCCACGTGGAGGAGAAGCCCTATAGAGTCGAGTTGGCAGAGCCTGTGGCAGCCACCCTGTGTGAGCAGACCTGGAGCCACCCACTCCCGAGGCCAGACAGCTGCATGGGAGAGTCATGTACAGTGTCTTCAGGCTGCTCCAGACCCTCCTAAGCCCACCTGGGCCTCCTCTGGCTGGCAGCAGCCAGGAAGTCTCCCCGGCCTGATTATGGCTGCACTGAACAGACAGATGGCTGGAGTCCACCGAGGCTAGGGTGGACGTGGGAACTGGGAGCCAGAAAGCCAGCCTTTCCTGGGGTCCCGGTGGAGTAAAACACTCGTTTAGGCACCTTCCCTAGTTCCTTCCTTCATCCTTCTCATGCTGACGGCTGGGGCAGGGTAGCTAAATCCTGGCAAGGATTTGTCAGCTGGCAAGATAGGTGACCTGTGAAGGAGGGGGCTGGCTCTTCTGCCTGCTGGCCTTGGTCCTGCCTTCAGCTTTTTGGAGCCAGACAGGTCTGAGGGGAGGACTTCTGGATACAGCTCCTTGTGTCTGGGGAGCATCCCTGTCAGAGAAGCCTGGAGCCTGCTGCAGGTGAGAGGCCATTGCTCTTCCCCTTCCTGTCAGCTCATTACCCTGTCTCCAGCAGCTGCATCCAACCTGGCCATTAGGGGGCAGCAGAGGCACAGGTTTGGGATGGACAGTCCGCTGGCAAAGTTCTCTAGGGTCTGCAGGAGGGTGTCACATTGTGCGACCCCTCAAGCTTTTGACTTCTAACTGTCCCCATACCCTGTCGTTATCTGAGGTTGTCACCAAGAAAGGCCAGGCATATTTTCAAAACAGCTCTGACAGAGGTTAGAAGTGCATTTGTGAGATGTCTTTGCATAAAGTTTACCAAGACCTCCAGGTCCTGGTCTTGACATCTTTACCCCAGATCGCAAGGGTTAAAACTGGCTCCTTTTGGACTCTGCTCCAGACCTTAGCCAGGAGTTCCGGTCCAGCTTCCAGCCAAAGGTCCCCCACAGCTTCTCCACCCCAGCAGGTGAGGTAGGGAGGGGCTTCTTCAAGCCTTGTGGGGCAATGCTTAGGCCTGCTACACCAGCCTGGGGGCCTCCACCTGGGGTCAAAGGGTAGAAGTGTGGGTGGATGAGGGAGGCCAGGCCCAGCTGAGCAGGCACGTACAAGACGATAGGGACTGTGATAAGGGCTCTGGATGGTTTAAAGCTGCTGGAATCCAGACCTTAATGCTGAGATGGCCAGATAGTGAATGGCCCTTCTCCCAACCCAGAGAGAGGGCTCCAGGGCTTCTCGCCCAGAGCCATTGTCTTCCTCATTTGCTCCTTTCAGCCCAGCAACCTGGTTCTAAGTGGTCTTTCTGTGAAATCAGTGAATGGAGTCACCTCCCCTTCATCTTTGAACACCTGTCCCAGGACCTGGTCCAGCAGTCTGGGTATTCAAGGGCCTCCTGGCAGAAAGGCAATGTGCCCTGCAGCTAAGTGGACCAGTTTTCTCCTGTGCTGCTTATGTGCCTTCCAATCAGGCCATTGGGCAGATAAGAGGGTGTCTGCGGCAGGCTCAGACTGCTGAGAATCCTGTACCCCTTGTGTGTGGGGGTGCGAGCGGGGGTGGGGGGGTGGATGGATGAGGATGACAGCTGGACAGGACAGGAAGGGACAGGACAGGGACAAAAGCCATCCTCACATCCTGAACCCAATTCTGTAGTAGTAAGACTTGTAGCACACATCTAGAATGAGGAGCCTTGGAGCCCTAGCTGTGTGTGGATCTCAGCTTCCCCTTCCCAGTCCCCATACACATCCCTATTGTCCCATGTACCAGGGTGCCCTGACAGAACTGGAGGGCCTTGTGGACTTTTGCGTAGATGAAAAGTCACTCCCGCTTAGAGTTCCAGGGAGCCCTAGATGGTCCTCCAGGAGTACTGCTCACTGCCCACTCTCTTAGACCTGAAGGTATGAGGCAAAGCTCCAAAGGAAGACACACAGGCTCAGGCTGCTTAAAGGAACCAGTGAATTTCTGAAGACATGTCCTTACAGTGGTGGCACCTGGCTCAGTACAGGCAGAGGCTGCCAGGGTTTCCCCGTGCCACCCAGGTCGTTCAGGGTGAGAGTAGAAACCAAAATTTAAGGATGAGGCTGTTGCCATGCTCTGGGTACAAACAACCAGGAAAATCACAAGAATCATTAAAAGAGCCCCTCTAAATTCTGCAGTGCTACACTCTAAAAAAAAAAAAAAAAAATCAAATGGACCTAAGAAGGCCAAACCATAGCTGTGAGGACCTTGGGCACCCTGACCCTTATGAGCAATGGCTGCAACAGTCAAGTCCCTGGTCAGCCCTGGACTTGGTCATCACATGTAGTCGAGGGAGGTCCAAAGGTCCACACTTGGTGCAGGTCCCGGTGATGTCCTAGGCAGACTGGTGGGGGTACACTGGGTAGGATGAAGCCCTCAGGGAGGAGTAAGGGGATGGGACAGAAACCTTCCCCTTCCCTAAGGTGGGCAAGAACAGAATTCCTAGGAAACTCAGATGTGTCAGGAAGGTGTGGGGGGGGGGATGCTGATTTGAATGTTGATTGGTGGGTGATTGGGGGAGGAGGAGGAGCTAGGTTGGGTCAGTGGGTGGGTGTGCTGGTCCACTCTCCAGCGCTGGCCAGGGGTGGCCGGTGTTCAGAGGTTGCTGAACAGTTCATTTTTCTTGCTCCAGTCCATCTGCGGGGCCCGCTTGCTACTGCGCTTCTGGTGGGCCCTCTCTTTAGCCACAGCCAAGGAGATGTTGAAGTCCAAGATGGGGTCGGAGGAGGAGGAGGTAGATGAGGGCTCTGTAGACTCCTGTCTCTTGGGACTGTCTTGGGAATTTAGCTGTGAAAAGGAGGAAAGAGTCAGTGTCTACCCCTAAGGGCTCCCCGGTCCTTGGCCTCAGAGAGGTGGATCCCTTGGGGCCATGGTCAAAGTAGCCAGGTCACAAGAACAAACTGCACCTCCCCATGTGACCTCAAAGGCAGGCTAGTGTGCCAGGAACCAGAGTGGCCTGGAAATGGCTTCCTGTAACTCAGCCACCAGCCCCCACAGGGCCTGCCTACCTCCTCACTGGTATCGCTGGAGGCGGATCTCACCAGGGCTGGCCTGGGGCTCTCTGAGGCTGCCTCTACCAGGGCTTCACGGCTGCTCTCCTGGCACAGAAAGGAAAAAGTATGGGTTGGCAGGGGCTGAGAAAAGAACCCTTACGAGAGAAGGGTCCTCGCTCAGGCTTGGCCACCCACCCAGATTCCAGATTTATCTTGCTGCATTCCTAAAAGGATTGGGGCAGCCTGGTCCCAGCCATCACCTGGGCGGGGGCGGGACTGTGGAATCTCTCATCCTCCCCAGCGCTTTTGAGCTTTTGAGCGCTGACTCATTTTTTTTGGATCAGCAACCCAAGAGGGGCTTCTTGGAGCACAGGACCACCAAGGTCCTCCTGTTAGGCATGAGGAGCATATACAATCCCTTAACCTCTTGCAGCCCTCTCCAGGTCCTAACCCCAAAGTAGCCAACCAGGGTCTTTAGGGAATAAGATGACAGAAAGTTCTAGAACCAAGGATGGGTGGCAAAAGGTGGGGACCATGGCTTGATTCTTGTCTCCACTAGGTCCCTGTGGAGTAAGGAAGCCTTCAAAGTGCTCTTGCCAACTCCAGGCTCTGTGGTCTGATTCTGAGACAGCCCATGCCAGAGTAGAGGTTTTGGCTGGGCGTGAGCCTGGCACTCAGCCCCTTCCTGGGTCCTTCCATGGCCTCAGCTGGCTCCCAGCCTCACCCCCTTCCCTTCTGCCCAAGGGGAGGGACTTTGTTCTTCCAACTCAGACTGGAAGTAGCAGGACCAACAGCCAGACACTGAGGCTCTGTTCTTGGGGGGAAGAATGGCCTCTTCTGTATGGTGGGAGTTGGAGGCGGGGGCTGCCGAGGGGCCCCAGGCAAGCCTTTCCCAAGTGATAGCCTTACCCCTGACGGGCTGGGGTACCCTGGCAGTCCTATGGATTGGAGCTCAGGAAGAAACTGGAACTGGACCCTGATGTGTCAGCCTGAGCCAGACTCCCAACCATGCTGCCACTCTCCCTGTCCCCATTGAGAAGTGGGTAGAGGACCCCCTTACCTTCTGTATCTCTCCATTGGTGAAGGGCTCAGGCAAGGGGCCTAGATGAGGGAGACAGCAAAGGTCAGTCTAAAGACTTTGGGGAAGGAGAGCAGAGGAGGCCAGAGCTATGCCCTGGGCAGCTCACCAGACCTCATACTGGAGGTCAAAGGCCACAGTGTTTTTGGCTGAAACCTACTGTATGTAATTTGACATTTTGATGACCCAGTGCCCAGAAAGATTGTTTGACAATTTCAGAAAACAAGACCCCACTACAGTGCCATACTTTGGTATTTTCAACTACAACTTACTCTTACAATGTCTCATTTGGCAAACTGGAGGAACTTTTTTGGGTGTGTGCATAGGAGGATCACACTTGAGGAGGGCTACTTGATGCTGACTGGCAACTTGTGATAGACAAGACAGCTCCCTTTAACAGTAATACTTGGTGCAGTGCTGGGGGCCAAACACACAGCCCTCCGTATACTAATTAGTGCTCTACCACTGAGCTACCTTTCTGGGCCTAGCTTGACATCTGACCCAGAATGCCAAGATGCCAGGCTTGCAGGAGCGCTAAGATGGGATGGAGTTCTAGGGTAGCCAGTCAAAAAACAGATCACCTGTGTGTGGCCAGAGAGATGGCTCAGTGGTGACCTGATTACCTGAGTTGGATCTCCAGGACCCAGATGGTAGAAGAGAGAACTGACCTCCACCCACATCCACCCTAGGGCAGGGCTGGGCCTTGGTATTCACACCTCTCAGGGGCTGAAGGCAGATTTAGGGCCACACCTCAGATTATATAGCTGGCACCTGCTGCCTTGGAAAGACAATAATGGCAACTGTCTGGCATCTGGAAATGAGGGGACAAGGAGGTGCAAAGGCAATGTCCTGAGCAGAGTCAGGAGAGGCCAGTGAGAGAGAAAGTCAGCCCCCGGCTTTCGGCTTGGGGGAAGGCTGGTCCACCTCCAGAGACTAGTGAAGATGGTGTGGTGCCTCTGTATATTAGGTTCTGAGACCCGTGAATCCTCCACACTGCATCCGCCTCGGAGATCTGAGCTATGTGAACCCATTGCAAAGTCCAGACAGGTTTCACTTTCGGCATAGCACAACAGAGCACACTTCCAGAGCCATCTTCCCAGGCAGAAAGTCTGGACTAAGGAGTAGGGGTGCTCAGCCCCTCCTGCTGTGTGGTGTGGTGTGGTGGCCCTACTCACTTTGGCTTGGCTTGAACAGG